TTTTTTTTGTAATCGAAAACGATTTATTTTTAAACTACCTGCATCCTTCTGTTGATAAATAAATACTATCTCTTGTTCTTTTGCCTGAGAACTAAAACTGTATGAACTGAATTTTCTATATCTGAATATTCTGCAATTTACGTTGATGATTTTCTTCAGCAGAGTTTAAGATTTCTTCCCTTTTGTTTGCTTTTTCTTAAGTGTTTTTACCTTTAACCGACACAATTTTGAGTCGTTGTCCGACGTTTCTGATTATGAATAAATATATTTTCCTATATTTTATTAAAATTTAAAACATTTTTGATTTGATGTGTACACAACTTGGCACCAAAATAAAAAGTGATAGCTACATAGTTACGAGTAAGTTATAAATTTTGGCTTTGGACTATGGTGCACAACTAGGTCATAGATGAGTACTCCGTTTACTTATCATCTGAAGAAGGAAGCGCAGTGTATAATTATAATATTAACACGCCACTAAAAGCCTAGTAGACGGCAATAGCCTACGAAATACGCCGCCAATTAATGATGTAACAGTGTTCATCTTATTGTAATCGGACTCCTATCAATTAGTGTCTCTTACTTAGTTATAAATGACACATATGTTGGTATATAGTTTTGTGTGTTCTACAATATGGTTACGGCTTAGTCATTACAGTATTGGTATTTCTCTGTTCCGATTATTGGATCTTCAGTCACATTTGTTCTAAAGTTATCGGATTTGATAATCTGATCCTTAATTTCCACAAAGAAGCATTACTTTACATACATTCATACATTTATTGCATTTGTATTAAAATATTCACCGCATATATTTGTTGAGAATAGCGTTACGTTTTGTGCTAAAATTTTTCTTGTTATTAATAAATAGACTTCATACGAAAATAATATTTAAATCTTTTTGAAGTTCTCTTAGATCCACTTCTGGACGCAAATCTCTCTTTGATACACCAGAACTGACTACCTACATAGAGTTTAATCCGGAAATAACATGCAGTAATAGAATACTGACAAAGTTCTCATATCATATCAAAGTACAAATAATGCCTTGTATCTTTTGAACAATGTGTTTGTGGCACCATCTAGTCGTAAACATTGTTAGCCAAATCCCGACAAATCCTCCTAACTCTATTCATAGTAGAAGTATTTTAAATAGCGTTGAATGGGAATAAATCGTAACTTGATATTGTGGTTCAGTATGAAATAAATTAAATAAATCGTAACTTTTGTTAAATATTTGTGCATAAGAAAAAACATAATAAAACAACAAAAATGGAAAAAACAATTAATAATGTTCCTATTACATAAAATATAAAAATTGTTTTTATGCTCTGTTAAAACATTGTCTTAACTTGTCAAAAAAACTACTACTAGTCGTCGCTGAGAAGTGTCTAGTGACAGCCATATTCCCAGTTCATCAAAGTCCTGTAGGTTATTACCTCGTTAAAACCCTGCGGGATGTATCTGAGGGGTGTTTGGGGATAGCCAGCCTCTCAGATCAAATTCCTGCAGGTTAATAATGTCGCCGAGAGGTGCCACTAGATGCCTCATTTTTGACAAGTTGCAATTTAATGGTCTTTGGTCTTCTATCACTCCGATGGCAAATGCCCAGGTAAAGCCATTTACCAGTTCACACACTCAGACACAGTCCTGCATACTTCCAAACTATTGTTATATCTTCACCGCTGAACTTTATGCGATAGAAAAAAACTCTCACGTGGGCCATTATTAATGCCATTATATTATCGAATTTTAAATCTTCTCTTAAATCCATCTCACATAATATGATTAAAAAATTCAATAATATACTTATTTGCAATGTCAAAAAAGTAATTAATATTCTTCTTAATAAACAAGAAAGATTTTGGAAAATGCAGGGGCATGCATTTGGTTTAATTTTAACTTGTTCAATGAATTTTTATTAAATTTCCATCGGGTTGCAAATAATTATCATCCTGTATAATTCACTTTAAAGAAAGTGTTGACAACAACAAACTACTACTGCATTTTTGTATTAAATTATCGTCCTTCGGAAATTGGTAAAAACGGATATCAGCTTTCCACCCTGTTCTTATTTTAAAACACTATTATAATTGTACTTAGAGCGAGGAATATAGCATGTACCTACTAGGCATAATTAATAAAGTTATTATTTTTCTTGCAAGTGGTTAACAACGGGTCACCAGACACTTTTTAACGCATATTTTAATAAAATGATGGGAGAACTTGGAGAACTCCCGCACAACTGAGCCCAAAAACATTAAAATCCGTCAAGTGGTTTCAGAGAAATTCGCGAGCATACATAAAAAAAGGTCCACACCGAATATAGAACCTCCTTTTTTTGAAGTTGGTTAAAAAGATACGAGTTTAGGATATTACGACGAAGATATCTTAAATAATAATGTTTTTTTTTCTGAAAGAAATAAATAAAAAAGGATACACACAAGAAAGCTTTGAATTTAACACTTAACTCTTAACTAATGTGAGGGATGAATCTGATGCACTTTAACGAGTTTATCAATAATGGACACAAAGTCACTTAAAAACAGGCGTAAGTCTCCGCGTTCAGTAACATGCACCCTATTTCTCTTCTTAGTTAGCAGGGTTGTTACTGCACTAAATCCACGTTCATATAAATACGATGATATTAGGAATCGTTGAACCATCGACCATAATCCAGGATACAGTTGTGGGATTGTCTTCTGTAACCAAAGGCTGGTATGTCGATGCTCAAATTGTTTTGGACTCGTTCTTTGAAATCAGCGTAAATATTCTCCTAGTGTTGACAGTAAACAAGCAAGTCATCATTGTTGATGTTGGAAGATATTGCTGATAAACTAGGGAAGTTAATAAATTCACGCCTGCCCACATTTCTTTTGTTTTAATCAAGTTTAAATCGTCGCCTTAAAGTTGAAGATTAATATCATTAAACAATTTGTAGAGATCTGTCAAGTAGGCAATATCATGCTTTGATGTGATGAGGATATCACGTAATTCTCTGTCTTTGTTTCCCAGAAACTCTATCACAGAATCAGATTCTAAAAGCGAGTCAAACAAGTACCTCTTGATAACCAGCGCACTTCTGTGTGAAGCAACAAACGGTTGAGATCTTCATCATTGGCAATGCAAAGCTGACTAAATGTTAAGAAAATAAGTCAAGTTTTTGAAAGGCACGTGCCAATAGTTACCTAAACGCTCCAGTCTTAACGTAGCGCTTTCGTGAATTCGTTGGACAGGTATCATAGTACAATTTAATAATAAATTCAGCCATAAGAAAATAAGTCACAAATCTGTACGTTGGCTCTAGGACTAATACGACAATGGCAAGATGTCGCTCACTCGGGAAATATATAAGACTATATTTTGATATAAGATTGTTTTATTAATTAAATTTTCTAGTTTATTGAATCTGCGATAGACGCCTACCTAAAACCAGGGTTAGTCCACGTTTGACTTTTGACATTTGTATATTGAAATCTGAGAATGTGAGTAATTGCGTGTGCTTTTGAAAAGGTTTTTAGTTCCGCAATATATGTTACACAAATAATGTATACAATTTAGATTTTATTTCTTGCTTTTGTTCGTAATATTTTAAGAATACTGTTACAAATCATAAAATAAAAATGAGAAAATAATTTTTAATTATAAATACGAGTAGATAGACAAAGCTACTATCTGCCCAAATAGGGAATTCAATGTGTAAGAGTGAGAGGTACATATTCACTGGGTAAGAGCGAGACAGAGTGAAGGAGAGCGGGGAAGTGGGGGGAATTAAATTTCTTTTAAGGCCGAACAAAAAAATCATGCGATTGCCAAAAAGACCTAAGCGTGTTTCTCGGTTACTGTTGGTCCGATTCAAACAGGAATAACGGCATTATGTAGAGAGCGTGATATAGATGAACGTTGAAGAGAAAAATCATGGTAGAACGAAAGCCAGAAGGCCCTAAGCGTGTTTCTTGGTTATTACTAGTCCGATTCAAACGTGAAAAATGGCATTATGTAGAGAACGCGGTATTGATGAACGTTGAGGAGAAAAATCCTGCGCAGTAGCAATGCCAAAAGGACCTAAGCGTGTTTCTCGGTTATTATTGGTCCGATTCAAACGGAAAAACAGCGTTATGTAGAGAATGTGGTATAGATAAACGCTGAAAAAAAATCCTGCGCAGTAGCAATGCCAAAAGGACTTAAGTGTGTTCCTTGGTTATTACTGGTACGATTTAAATGGGAAAAATGGCATTATGTAGCAAACGCGATATAGATGAACGTTGAAGAGAAAAATCTTGCGATTGTCAAAAGGATTTAAGCGTGTTTCTCGGTTGTTATTGGTCCGATTTAAACATAAAAACAGCGTTATGTAGAGAACGCGGTATAAATGTACGTTGAAGAGAAAAATCCTGCCTAGTAGCAATATTTTTATATGAACTTTAATAGTTTTATTTGAATAGATCTTCATAATGTAGATGAAATAATGTTTTTCGAGTAACAATTATAATAAATACAATATTAGGGGAAGTACTCTATTACAGCCGAGCGTCAAGGTGGATTACCGAGGTACGAAGCACCGTGTTAAGCTACAGACACGAGGCTAGAATGAGTTTCCCCGTGATACTTCTACGATTTTACTTATGATCTACTATTATTAATTTTATATAAGTTTCAAATAGTATAAGGAAAATACCTGTGAGACCGTTGCTAGGCAATACAATAAGTTTGTCGAATTTGCCAGTTATATATTGAACGATACTTTTTATATACTTACAAATATATCCGACAATTACCTTGAATGTACCCCACCAGAACTGCGAGGAGCTGCATAAAAAGCTCTTCAAAAATTGATTGTCTGTTATACTAAATCAAACAACTCACAAAGTATCGGGCCTAAAAGTATCACTATTAATAAAAAATAATAAATGATTTATGCAGCTGGTGAACACCAGAGACCAGATATTATGAAAAACTCATGTTAAATTTTGTTAATACAAAATATTTTTTTATTTTAGGTGATTTGTTTACGATGTTAGTCCCAATGTTAAGCATATACCAAGAATATGTCAGAAATCACAACTATTCTCTACAAGTATTAACAGAATGTAAGCAATCGTTACAATTTTCCGCTTTAGTTAAACGTCTAGAAAGTAAGCCATCATGTAGAGGCAGATCGCTAGAAGCATTTCTGACTTATCCTATGCATCAGGTGACTACCAGCACACTCTTCAAGAAATAGTTGTACAATAGGTAAACAGGGTGTAACAAAAAGTAGGTAATAAATTATACCAGATATTTTGGAGTCAAATAGAGGTCGGTATATTGATAATAATTAATAAGGGAGTTAAGAGTGGAATTTTAATAATTATTTTTCGTAATAACTTTTAACATTTTTGGATAAAAAATTTAAAATTGGTGGTTTTTGAATATTAAAAATTATAATTTCATGTTTATATAATCTATTTTGTTATTTAGATTAGCGACATTGTTATTAGAAAATATTAGTTTTCGATATAATCGCATTATATAAAACGGCTCCATAATTCTTATTTAATCCATTGGACGTCTTTGATATTTGCCGTCAAGAATTATTTTACAGGTATACATTCTTGTTTCAATAATTTATAACTTCTGTCATAAATTTTATTTATTTGTTTTCTTAACGAAAATTAGAATATTTTTAGATTTTAGATTTAGACTTAATTAGGACTGTGAGCCATGTGGCCTTCCCACCTCGACCTTTTCAGATCTATTGGGGATATCCTCGAATCGTTTTTTAGAGTACCTTATCTAATTCGGACTCCATAGACTGGGAAGTAGTTCTCCGGTATAGCTAGTTGCCCTTGGTTTTTCTTCTCCAAGTGTAAGGAATCTCAGTCTTGCTAGACCTTCGCAGTAGTACAATACGTGTTCCGCCGTTTCTTCCTCTTCCTTACAGAATCGGCACAAGGTCACTTCTGTCACATATGTTTGTTAAGCTTACAATGCCCTGTTAATAGACCTACTAGTACTCTAGTAGTTTTCCTATTAAGGCTTAGTAGATGCTCGATGAGTTTAGGCGATGGTTCTTTTAGGAACTCTTTGGCCTGTCTCTGTCCTGGGGAGTTTTTTCACCACTCCTGAGATTTTTTAAACATCCATTGCTTTGTGCAAGTTCTGATAGTTGTTTTTGTTACACCACAAGGGTTCTGGGCCAATAAGAGCATTTGAGGCTCCTTCTCGGGCTAGTTAATCAGCCTCTTCATTGCCCCTATGTACTCTGTGGCCAGGTATCCAGACTAAGGTTAGTCTGTTTTGACTACCCAGCTTTGTTAGGGCTTCCAAACAGTTCCACACAAGCTTTGAGTGTACCTGCATGGAAATGAGTGCCTTTAACGTCGCTTGACTGTCTGAGTATATGACAATGGTTTTTCCATTTCTTTTGTCTTAATACCTCTTTTGCGCAGTGATGTATTGCTGCTATTTCTGCCTGGAATACTGTCGCATGTTTACCTAAGCTCAGTGAGATTATTGTCTTTGGCTTGGTACTATATATACCTACTCCTAAACCTTCATGGGTTTTGGAGCCGTCTGTATACCACGCTTCCCAGTCTAGTATACTTACTTTATATTGCTTTTGAAAGCTATACTTCATTAGAAGGCATTCCCATTATTTGCTCGTTCTCAAACTCTTTATATAGCTAGCTGTAGTCGCGTCCATGTAAACTGCTTATGGGTGATGAACCTTTGTGCAGTCTGTATGTGACAGACCTAGCTTCGCCTTGAATGAATATATGTAGTGGTGATAGATATAGCATGACTTCTATGGCTGCTGTTGGAGTCGTTCTCATAGCTCCCGTGGTACTTAGGCATGCTTGCATTTGTATACCATTGAGATGTCAAATGGTTCCAGCTTGCCAAGTCTTTGGCCACCATACCACCGACCCGTAGGTTATCATCGGCCTTATGACTCTTGTATATAACCATAGGGACATTTTCGGTTGTAGTCCCAATTTTTTCCTCACAACCTTCGATATAAGTGCTCTTTTGAGTGACTTTTTTTGCAAGTGTTGATTCCATGTTAACCTGTGGTCAAAGATGACTCCCAAGTATTTGGCCTCTTGAACAAATGGAATCTTCACTTCTTTCAGTACTGGTGACTTTAGTCCTGTTGGTACTTTTCGTTTTGTAGAGTATTGTGGTTTTGTGATGGTTTACTGTTAGTTCCTCCTCTCTGCACCACTCGTCAACAATGTTTAGAGCGGTTTATGTGCGCTCCGATATTGTAGCTGCGAACTTGCCTCTTACGACGATCGCCAGGTCATCGGCATACCCTAGGCAGTAGAAATCTGCAGATATTAGCCTTTTTATGAGTTCGTCCACTAGGACTGACCAGAGGAGGGGTGATAGTACTTCTCCCTGGGGACAGCCCCTGCCTGCTTTAGCTGTCAGTGTAGCTTTTAGCTGTCAGTGTAGCTTCGCCTAGAGATGATGTTATTACCCTTTCTTCTAGGCTGGCTTTTATCCACTGACATAGGGCTACTGGTACCTCTTTCATTGTTAAGGCGTTAATTATAGATCTTGATTGGGCATTACTTAAAGCTCACTCAATATCTACGAAAGTTGCTACTGCCATTTCTTTATCCTCCAGGGATTTTGACAATAGCCTGTTAAGATCATTAAGGGCCAAATCGGTTGACTTGCCTGTCTGATATGCATATTGACGGTCGCTGAGAGGATTTTCTCTCAGTATTTCGTCTCGTATATATCTATTAGTCTTTCTAGTGTTTTCAGCATGAATGAAGATAGACTGATTGGGCAGTACGACTTAAACCTTCCTACTTTAGGAATGTATATGACTTTCACCTTTTGCCACGCCTTTGGTAAATGTCGCCAGGTTATACATGCTTTAAATATGCTACACATATGTTCCTTTTGTAGTAGAATGGGATATATTCCATCTACTCCTGGGGATTTGTATGGTTGAAATTTGTTTGTAGCTCATCTAATTTTGTTCGGCCTTGATATTTCTGTAGCTAGCCTCCATTTTAAAGGAGTTGGCCTACGAGACCTTCTTTGAGGGCTGTAAGCTACTATCGGGCCTAGCAAAATTTCTACGGCAGGAAAGTGTACTTCTGTGAGCATTGTTAACGTTTCCTCGAAGGTTTTTGTGTAGGTTTCATCACCTTTCCTGAGAAATCCTACTTGGTTTGCAGTACCCTCTTTAGCTGGGACTTCGTGGATTCTAGAGCATGTGGATGTTTCAGATAACTCCTCACAGAACTTCCTCCACGATTGCCTTTTAGCCTTTCCTATCTCCTTGTTGTACTGCGTGAGTTTAGCCTTATATAGAGCCCAGTTTTCGGTTGACTTGGCTTTATTAAATAGCCTTCGCACTTCGCCTCTAAGGCGTTCCAAGTGTTTGTTCCAGCAGACTGTTTTTGTTCTTTGCTGTCTTGTTTTCTTCGGACAGTTTTCCTCGAAAGCAGTTATAATGGCCTTACTTACTAGGTCTACTACTCGGTCGAGACTTTGTTCACCTGTTATTTCCACCATACACTCTTCAAAATACTCTCCAAGTTATGTTGATTACCTTCCAGCTCGTCTCTCTAGAATATATCGAGACCTAATTTTATTGAGATAATTTCCTGGCCGTAGAAGAATTTTTTGTATAAATAAAAGTTCCTTGGTTATATTAATCACAAGTTTTATTATTATTTTTTTAATGCTTTACATATGTTTCGAATATCAATATTTAAAAAAAAATAAATATATATATATATATATATATATATATATATATATATATATATATATATATTCATTGCCAGCGAAAATACTGAAAATTTTACATTTTACATTTTTCCATTGCGTTCCATTTTAGAGAAATCATGTAAAACAGAAAAATATTAGAGAATGATATCGCAAACAACTTCTACTTAAAGATTTTTCTTCTCCAATTGTAAATAACAAAGATTCCTTAAAGTAAAAAACTATACCCTATAAAGTACCCCCGGATGCTTCGACTGTTTCCAAAATTTAATCGTCTCACCATAGGATGGATTAAAGGTAAAGTTTAAAATTTGGTGTTTTTCTCTTTATCTGTTTTTAAATTATTTGCAAAATTCAAAATTTTCACTTTTTCTCAAATATCTCGAATACAGTTCATTTTAGGAAAATCATGTATGGGACAAGAATTATAGAGCGTGACATCACAAGCAACTTTTATTAAAACAGTTTTTTAAAAAAATTTGATTTTACACTTTTTATCAAATTTCTCGAAGTCAAATTATTATTTTCTAAAAAATTGTTCCTAATGAGGCCTAAGTGCCGTGGGGTAACCCACCCTCCACACGTTACAGATACAAAGATACAGAGGGATCCCAAAACTTAAAAATCCGTCGATAACTCAAAGTCGACTAAATATCATGATTTATATACTTTCCTTGTCTGTATACAGAGAGGAAAGTAAAACACATCGGGGACAATAACAATTTATTTTTAAAACTAGCGAAACCCCATCTTTTTGATTTACATAGTGAGTAGGTGTATTTTAAAAAATGTAATTGCTGGGTTCTAGTGAGTCCAACCTCCATAAAAATTTTATGGGGTTCAATGTTTTTGTACATTTTTCTTGCAAAGTTGTTCTCTCTTTAAGAAGTCTACATATCTATTTTCATAACAAATTGTTTAACAATTGTCATTGGGAAAAATCGATTTTTAAATCGTAACCTCAAGGATATGCCTTTTTTACAGGATGTTTCATAAGGAATGGTAAATATTTTAACCATAGGTTCGGGACCTCAAAATATTAACACAGGGGTCAATTGTTATCTACTTTGTATGTCAACAAGGTGTTAAAGTTAAAATTCATTTTTCGATTTTATGCAAAATTTTCGTTATTTACCGTATTGACTTTAAATTTAGTATTGGTATATTTTTGGGCCATTAAATCATACGAATGTTATCAATTTTGAGATTAGGGGAAAAAATTATTTATTTTTTGTTCTTCGCCTTCCTAAAAAAATTGCAAGTTTTTATTGTACAAAAAAATTTGAACAAAAATAGAATAATTCATTATTATTTTTTATTTTCAAGCCTACTTTATTGAAATATTGTAAAGTAAATTAAATAAATGTTGTGGCAAGAAAATTTTAAATGCAAATTTTTTGTTCAAATTTATAAGGTGTACCAAAATTTCTTGAAATTCCAAGTACAAAAAAAATTACTTTCTTCATACAGTCTAATCTCAAAATTGATAACATTCTTATGATTTACTTGCCCAAAAATACTATCATACCAAATTTCAAGCAATACTTTAAATAATAACGAAAATATTGCAAAAAGACGAAAAATAAATTTTAGCACTCTGTGTTTCAGAAGAAGACAATACTGATCCCGTGTTATTTAGCAAAATAATAATATTTTGATATCCTGAACATGTGGTTAAAATATTTACCATTCCTTATGAAACACCCTGTATAGTTAAGTTCGATCTGACCTACCTATTTTGATTCGGAATATCTGGAATAATTAAAGACCTATCTTTTTGTTACGCCCTCTATATAAAAAAATATTCCATTCTGAAAATTTAATTTTTTAGGTTCCGAGATATATTATAGCACTACATGAATTGTTAGCACATACTCCGCACGATCATGTTGAAAGAAAAAGTTTACAAAACGCCAGACAACAACTTGAAGATCTTTCCAGACAGATGCACGATGAGGTATTTAATAAAGTTATGTTAGATTAGTTTTTTTTTTCTTTGTCCTTTTATTGAGTTTCGTTTTTCCATATTTCAACCGCGCTGAAATTATGTACAGTATATAAAACTAAATTAAAATCTAATATCTCTTCAATTATTTTATTGTCTTCCCTATGTTTTCCTGGATCTGCAATTTTTTTCTGTTGATTATTCATAATTGGTAAATCTTATTTTGTACAAGAAAAACTTTTTAAAAACAATTGTCCAATTTGTTTGTGTTATAACAAATTGCAATACACTAATTGTTGATCTGAATTATTTTTAGTTTCTCTACTCCCAATAAAATCGTTTTATGTTAATTTAATTTCTATTCTAAATTATCTGTACCTACGCGCATGTCAGTCTTCTATGGAAAACGCGTATTTTTACAAAATTTATTTGTAGACGACGAAGAGATTCAGACGGAATGCGTTATAATAATTTCGAAGACTTTATACAGGGAAGGGTAGACAAAAACAGATATGGACTGGGAGTTGTTCAGTTTAATATTAGAAGCCTACAGAAACATTTTATTAAGCTACTGGTATATGTTGAAATGGCTAAAGATATACTTGATGTAATTATATTGTCAGAAACAGGTAAAATAAAAAAATATTCATGATTTTTCCATTCCTTAGTTTTCAATTCACTACAATGAGGCAATATGTAAGAAATAATATATCAGCGAATGTTAATATCGTACCTGTAAATGAAACCAAATTTCTTAGAGCTGTTTTAACTTCTAGTAATTTGCCAAAAAATTATAAAATTGGGCTTACCGCCTTCTATAGACTTCCGGCAACCGACTTAAATATGTATTTAGATAATTTAGAAACATACCTAAATTCTATAGAATATCAAAATCTAGAAATATATATGGGTGATATATAAACATCGATACACTAAAAAAAGAAACTAACGAAACAAACAAATATTTAAATATAATGAATTCCAAATGTTTTAAATCATATATAAATAAACCAACGAGAGTACAAAATGAGTCAAAAACTGCCATTGATCATATTTTTATTAGAACTCATAAAAACCTTATAAAAAACATCGAACTTGAGCCAATTATATTTGACACAGATATGACAGATTACTATTCTCCTTTTATAATAATATCTTTTCCTACACAAAAAAATGGAGAAACTCAATCAAAAAACAAAGTGACCATGATAAATTTTGATAATCTAAAGCATTGTTTAAGCAGAGAAAATTGGAATGATGTAATTAATACGGCTGAACCACAAAAAGCATACGATTTATTTTTCAATAAGCTAAATCAACAAATTCAAAAATGCACTAAATCTACAATTAAAACAAAAATATAATTAAACTAAAATCATGGATAACAACAGGTTTAATACTTTCAATAAAAAAAAGAGACTCTCTAAAAAAAAAACTAACAAAAAAATACACTCTAGAACTTGGAAACCATTATAAAAATTACAGAAACAAACTTCATTCCTTAATAAGAAAAACAAAAAATAACTATTATCAAAATAAAATTACACAAGCCGGAAACGATTATAAAAAAATATGGAAAATCATTAATGACATAACAGGTAGTACAAAAAAAACTAAGCAAATTGAAAACATATCTATAAAATCAGAAAACAAATTTAGTTGAAAATATGGCAAATAAAATACATAAGGTAGTACCAGCAGTAAACTTTCTTAAAAATGATAAAGTTGAAAACAACATATTCTTTAAACCCGTCACAAAAAATGAAGTTACTATTTTAATAAGCAAATTAAAAAATAGCTCCGCACCTGGTCCAGATAAATTAACAGCAACTACAATAAAAATTATAAATAAATATATTATTCTTCCTCTAACGCATATCCTTAATATTTGCTTTCAATCAGGAAAAATTCCAAGTCAATTGAAGGAATGTATACAAATCCGGAGACCCTAGTGTGCTTACAAATTATAGCCCAATTTCTGTTATCAACAACTTCGCTAAAATTTTTGAAAATGCAGTAAAAAGTAGATTAATTAATTTTTTTCATATTCATAATGTTATTACAGATTGTCAGTACGGTTTTATACAAAACTCAAGCACTGAAAATGCGGTTGTTGATTTTTTGGAAAAGACGGTTAGCGCAGTAGATGGATCATTAAAATGTGCTGCAGTAAGAAATTTGGCCAAAGCAATTTATACAGTTTCCCATAACATTTTACTTCACAAACTAAATAACTATGGCATACGGGGTTTAGCATTAAGGCTCCTGAGGGATTATTTATCTAATAGAACCCAGAGCGTAAAAATTGGCAACGCCGGAAGTTCTAAATCAGTAGTAAAGATGGGGGTCCCACAAGGAACAGTATTGGGCCCAATTCTGTTTCTGGTCTATATGAACAACATTACACAAATTAATAACTTATCTTGGAATAGCATATGCTATGCGGATGATACGGTAATTATTTTCGCTGGAAAAGAATGGGATGAGGTTAAACCCACTGGAGAAACGGCCCTGAGAAAAATAAATTTATGGTTAAATAACAATCTACTAACTTTAAACTGTCAAAAAAACGATTGTAACTTCCCCTTGATAGAAAAAGTTTCTTAAAATAAATACCTAGGTGTAATACTTGATCAATACATACGTTGGTCTGAACATATTTTCCATGTTAGTAATAGACTGAGAGCCTTAATGCACAAATTTTATGTTCTCCGGGATATTCTTTCAAAAAAAAAATATAATGATACTTTATAACTCCCTAGTGGATATAGAAGTTCTTGTGCAGTGGTTTATTATATATATTATATTTTATAATAGAATAAAGATTTATACTTGACAAGTTACTTTTTATTATTGTCAAACTTACAGATCAATTAATTTATATACAGGGTGTGCACAATCTTAACAGTGGAATCTATATTAAGGTATTGCATAGTAGCATGGGGTAGAGCATTTAACACCACTATTAAAATTGTAGAGACATCACAAAATATTATTTTAAAAATTATCCTTAAAAAAGAGAGACTATTTTCTACAAATAAATTGTACGATGAATCGAACATACTAAACATTACTTTTTGCTTATCAATGTATAATGAGAATGCTGAAAATTTTACTCAAAAAAATACCAGCTTAACACGCTCAGTCGCTAATATGGAGATTCCTTTACAATTTTTCAAAAAATCACTTAGTCAAAGGTCATTATCATTCTTTGGCCCAAATTTTTTTAACATAATTCCGATACACCGCAGGCAAATAATCAAAACGAAAAAAGTTTAAAATTGAAAAAAAAAAATAATAACAAATAAAAAAAAAATACGATCTAATGATAACATAGTATAAATAAAAAACATATCAAAAGCCAAAAGGCACATGCGCTTTGTCGTTTTTGTCTACTTTTCCTAAGGTACTCTCTATTTTTTATTTATCAGTTTATTCTGTCGAATTTCTTCGTCCCTTGATCTTATTTTTAAATATTGTATCTTTTGTTGAGTGAAAAATAATTATATGTAAAATTCAATACTTGTATCTAAAAAAAATATGTACATAAATAGAGTCATCTGATTGATCAGAAGCAAAACAGGCAGAAATGCCTAGGTTCGATGCTCAATCAGATGTTTTTAAAGAACTTTTTTTTTATATAACTATTTTTTTTTACTATTAGGTAATGTATTTTAATATTTAATATTTGATTTTAATAAAAGTTCAAAATAATTTCTGTATAGCCAATCAAAAACATTTTAGTTTTAAATGATACTCAACTTATTTAAATGTAGCATTTAATATTTAAAAAATATTTTTTAGGTTTCAGAAACGGAAAATCTACGAAAAAACTTAGCTATCGAAAGAATAATAGTCGAAGGTTGTGATATATTACTAGACGTCAACCAGATTTTCGTGAGGCAAGGTTCACTGGTTCAACTTCCTAGCGATAAACAAAAACAGAGCAAAAGCAAACTTCCATTTAAAACAGACAAAGATACCGTGCGCCAATGTTTTTTATTCTCGAATCATCTTATAATTACAACAAGGTAAAGGTTGCAATTTTATACAACTATTTAGTTTATTTTGAAAAGTTAGACGATGATATAGTTGTTATCGAAAAACTTGTGTACCTATCCTAGAATTGACAAGCGACTTCAATTTTCGAGATATATTTATGGATTTTGTCCAAAAGTCAAACTTAAATAAACTAATAATTAGACCCACTTATTTTTGAGTTAACAGTGAACAATCTACTTCCACAGTTTGAGTACCCTATAGCAATCTCAGCAATCTCACTATAATGTGGGGCATCCAGTTCAACTTACCGGTACCAAACCCACACGTTAACTTAATCATACTAGAGATAACGGATTTTGATAGAATGAGAAATAAATTAATTCAACTTAATTGGAAGCAAGTACTAGGTTTATTATAGAGTGATTGGAAACTCAGAACAACAGCTGTTCTAAAACAACTGACTCTGCCATTGTCTGAATACTGCTGGACAATAAATTATTGTTGAACAATATTTACAGCAGAGTTCAATTTACAATAAATCGATATGCCAGACAATTTTAGAGATAATAACTCAGCTTGCATGGACAGGAAGAAGAACTACTATTATGTAGATTTCTGCCAAATTAGAGGTAACAAACAACAGATTTAGCTGCAAAAAATGTTACACTTGAAAAAAATAGATGTGTGTATTCCAGTTCCATTTTTACATTGCAGGTCCAATAAAAAAGAAAAAAATAAAATGTCATGGCTTTATTACTGGAGATTTTATGACGGCCAAATGAGCAATATAAAATCCAACGTTGATAAATAGGTTTACCCACAACAGCTAAGCAGAAAGGAACAAGTAGTGATTTGTCGTTTAAGAATTGGGCAAACATTCCTTACACACTCATACCTTCTAGAAGGTAATCGCAGATACCAAGATGCGAACATTTCAACGCTCCTCGTTGATCATCTTGTCACATACCCCGCTTATCAATAAGATAAAATTTCTAATGGAATTGGACATAGAACACAAAATATGTTAACAAATGATCAAACTATTAAAAAAAAAACAAGTTACATGGGAGTAATAAATAATTTCAATAAAATTTAAAACCAGCTATTACAGCCATGCCACTAATGATCATAGCAATAGATGTTTTTTAAAAAAAATAATAATAGTAATCATAAAGGGGTGACTTGGCTCAGAGGTAAGAGTCATGACTTTGAGGTAGAAGGTCTCAGGTTCGAATCCAGCCAGTGACAGTATTTTTCTTTAATTTAAAGAATTAAATATTAATTGTAATGCATAGGTAGGATTTTCTACTAAACCATTCACTATTGGGTTCTAATTAATAGTGTTGTTCCTAAATTGGCGCTGGGAAACAGTAAAAAAGTCTATACCTTAGCATTTAAATTGATCCCGATGACACAAAAAATTTTCATAATAATAATAATTAAACCGTGATGATTTTACAGAACATCAAGCGGAAAGCTACACCTCGTTCCAGATATTGGTAAAATCCCTCTAGCTGATGCCCTTTTAATTGAAGATCCTTCAGAAAACCAGGCCGATGATGGTAAATACATTTTTTAATCCTTTAAAATTAACTTTCTAAAAATAATCCATTTGCAGTGTCTAGCCAATCAACAGCTAGTGAAGCATCAGCGATAAGTAAAGCGTCCCATAATAGAGATTTCAAAATTGTAATTGAAACAAAAACAACACAACATAATTCAGTAAGTTAGTCATTATATTTCATTTTATCTATCTTTTTATTGTTTACAGTTAAAAAAAAGTCAATACCCAAGTTAGTACAATGCCTATTTTGAATTAAATCACAAATTTGAAATTTTGTGAAATAGAATTTCATTAATAACTCGAAAACACTAAGAGATATGAACAAATTCATTTGTTTTTTGAAGTCGAGACACAAAATTTGTTCGGACACCTTAAAAAAAGTTCACAGGCAATAAATTCTCATTTATTTTCGAAAAAAAAAAAAAAGGAAATATGTATCACATAAACGAAGTCACGAGAAATTTCGGAAGGCTTTCTATTTTTATTTATTTAATCAAAATGTTTCTTGAAGGACAGTTTTCTATTTTTAATTATTCAAAATACTATTTGATTTCTTACTAATGATTAAATAATGTTCTAAATTTACGTACAACTAGATTAAGACAAACAAATTGGAAAACTTCTCACCGACTAAAAACGTATTCTAGTGCAGCCACCAAAATGTAGAAAATAAGAACTGCTAAAATCTCGCATCCACCAAAAATTAGAACAAATTTTTAGGTGGGCAATTTCATAAGTAACTCGAAAATGGTAAAAAATATAGAAAGTGGATTGATTTTTTTGTCTATCTGCATTCCAGTTTTAAACTAAGATAAAAATATTCATATTTTATAGATAATTACTAAGGAATTCAGCAGATGGACAAGGACCAGTTAACCAGGTTTTTATACATAGATGTTTTCAAACTATTCGAAGATATTTTGTTTGCCAAGCTTCTTTCTTTCTGTCTCCATGTAACGAAATCATTTTTTTTACACTCTACAATGACTTTATATTTCTTCAAAAGTGATATAAATTCACTTACGTCGAGTTTGGTGAAATTTTAGGACCTTTTGTCACCACTTGATACAGAACGGATGTTATGCTGCCAAAAAGGGCTGATTCAAATAATCAAACTAAATAAATTAATAACGTATTTGACACCTTACCTTTTGGAATATTGGACTGATCGGCGAGCGGCATACATGAAGCAAGGGCACAAATATTAAGCGACGGCGAACGAACTTGTTACTTTGTTGGCGATACATCGATGTCTCCTCATTCTTTGAAAAGGTCCAAAGCATGAACCGTTTAGGTGGGGAAAAGTGTCAAAATAGATAACGCGAATTTAAATTAAGAAATTAATAAAGAAAATAAATCCATTCTCGAACACCACTATATATTCTTACCTCACTGTAGTTGATAACGTCGCCAAGAGGCGCTTCTCTTATATCAGCTGGTGTTAGACAATTCTTGCCACAAATCTTCTAGTAAAAGAGTGCGTTGGGCAATCGTAGAGGATATGCTCGATTGTCTCATCTTTTTGTTCGCACCCCCTGCAGAGTGCAAATTCTGGCAAACCCATGATATGGAAAGGCTTCCATACTTGCAGGGATCAGGCGCAGATTCTGTCTAGTTGTAGTCAAGTATTTGTTTGCTGTGGTATTGTTAGAACAACTTAAAAAAGCTCTCTGGCAAGTCTGCAGCTTCTTGTTTCATCCCATCTTTTCTTGAATTTTACATGGGAATGTTCTTTAATTAGGTTTGTCACTACCGATGTTATCAGTCCAATAGAAGGGCCAGGTCCAAAAGTATTTGGTTGGCTGTCTTCTTGGCTAGTGAATCAGCAAGATGTTTACCTTTTGATAAGGCGTGATTTTTGATCCATCTTAAGTTGACCACATTGTTAATGGTTATTTCGGCCAAAACTTTGTGACATTTTAGTACTAACCCTGAGTAAATTCGTGGTCTTCCCATTGTGAGTGGTGCTTGTCTGCTATCTGTATAGATAAAAATGTTTCTTCCAGTGAAATTATTTCTGGTAATTTCTTCTGCTGCTATGGGTAAGCTCGGTTTGAACTACACTGGCACTACTGCTCACAGCTCATTTTATGTTTAAGTTCAAGGATCTAGAGTATATTCCACATCCTGGGACTTGTTTTGCTTTAGAATGGTTGGTGTAGATATAAATCGTACCCACTTCCGCCTCTTCTATTTGGTCTATTATATGGTTATATGGCTTATGGAACATATATCTCGGTGAGATGGAGTCCATGTTCGCTTGAAGCAGTGAGAGCGTATCAAACGCCTCCTGCCAAAAGCGACGTCTTGCCTCACCAGATCTATATAAGGTTCTATTCCAACCGTGCGTAGGTGTGTCACTATCATTAAAGCAATCTCCTTGATGTAAATATCAAGGGGAGTGAGACTATAAGAATGACTTCCATGGCTCTTGTGGGTATAGTTTTCATAGCTCCTGTTATGTTGAGACATGCTCTTCTTTACTTTAAATTTGTTCTAGTTTGCGGATAGCTGTCAATTTTTGGAGATTTTAATTCTATTTTTATAATTTTCCTTGTGAAAAGAACCATTTCTGTTAAACTGATGGTTAAACTGCAGGTTAAACTGCAGGTTAAACTGAAGGTTAAATTGAAGGTTAAACTGAAGATTAAACTGAAGGGTAAACTGTAGGTTAAACTTAATTGGTTGGGTACACACAATAAAAAGTTCCCTATTATGTTCCTTGCAGCTACATAAATATTAAATTGACAATAGTTTGTCTGGATACGCTTACCACGATTTCAAATTATGTCCAAAATTAGCAGAACATCAAAGTTTACTACACCAGTGATGCCTGCGCATTTGACTAAGACTTATAATGGTGGCGCTGGCGACACATACAACGTTCAACAATAAAAAAAAATGAGATGAGTGGTGGTATTCCCTAAGAAGACAATCTTGTACCAATGTTTCCTACCTACTTAGAAAGAGCAGTTGTAGTATTTACACGTAGTTTTAATGGAATTCGAAAGACGTTGGCGAAATGCGAAAAGTTTAATTAGAAAATGTTGGACAGTAAAGGAAAGATACGAGAAGAAAATGCATGCTGTTAAGACGAGGATGCGGTAGAATAGCGGAATCACAAAACGATAGAAAAGTAGAAATACGAGGCAGTTCAAATTTTATCTGGAATTTTGTTTGTAATCTTTATTGAATCAAAACTTTCATTAAACAACATATACTACTTTTCGACATACTCTCCATTTAACTCCATACACCTTTGCCATCTTCTTGTGAGCTTTGTTATAGTTGTTTTTATAAAAGGTTTTTGGTTGGGTAGCAAGCCAATTTTGTACACGGATCTCCACTTCGTCATCGTCTTCAAACTTTAGGCCGCTCTTTAGGGTGTTAAATCAGGATTATAGGGAGGTTGAGGTCGTGTCTCCCAATACAGTTTGGTCTAAGATGTCGGACGTTATCATGGAGACGTTCTCCACTCGCATAAGGTATATTTTCAACACGTTCTCGGCCACTCCGGAAAGCTTAGCACCAGTGAAACACTTGGGACTTAGAAAGGGCATCTTTCACATATTGTTGACGAAGTCTTTTGAAAATTTCACACGATTTAAAATTCTCGTTCCAAAGAAATTTTATAATTTTATATAATTCGTTACGCAGCAGAAACATAAACTTTGACAGTACTAATAAAAAACAATTGAAGCCTTAATTACAGTATGTAATGTTTCTAGACAGTCCCCTATAGTTACCGGTGAAGACCATAGGATTTTTTTGTTAAATTCCGAGTAAAATTAAAATTACGATGTATAGTTTACAGGTGATGTCTATATCTTACATTTTATGATATTTGTATTTTATTTATTCCAGCTATCTGTTCATCTCCTAGCCTCGTCGATTCAAGAAAAGGCAGCGTGGATCTCTGACCTAATCCAGTGTTTGGACAACGTGCAGTTCAACGACATAATGCGACCAGCAACGCACACCAGTGGCTCGATCAGTCTACCACAGTCGTTAAAAAATGATCCAAAGTTGTTCAAAGATGAAGCCGACATTCGTTTTAGTCGTAAGCTGAATTCTTGTAAAATTCCGCAAATTCGATACGCCACACCAGAAAAACTGCTGCAAAGACTTATCGGTAAAGATTGAATTAAACACTTGATGGTTAAATATTTAAATTCCATATATAATCTATTTAGCCCTTAATATCCCTCTGTTGGTTATCATTTGCATCCTTCCTAAAATTAAAAAAATGTATGTATTAAAAAAGATATTTTAACACTTTATAATTTTTTTAGATCTACGTTTTCTGTCTATCGATTTTCTCAACACATTTTTACTGACATACAGAGTTTTTACCGATGGAATCACAGTTTTAGAAGCACTTAAAAGGGTATTTTATGGTATTGATGTAGAACAACATGAAGCAATGGCTTCAGACGGGCTTAGCAAAGATGAATGTGCTGCAGTAGACGAAAGAAGACGGAGTAGTTTTTCTCCACGAAGAACGAGTGGAGCCAGTTCAGTTTCTGGTTATGGTTCTGAAATGAGCGAAAGGGACAGGTCTCATAGTTACGATTCTCAAGGTTACAGAGTATGGAAAGCAACATTGGAAAAGTGTAAGTACTTCTATTAAAACTTTCATATAATTAGCTCGTATATAAGAATTACAAATAAACATTATGTTCAGACGAGGAAGAGTCACAAGAAACAGAAAAAGAGACAGAAAGGCCAAAAATTATTAAGCATAGTCCTACAAAACATGGTGATACTCTTACTCTACCTGGTTCCAAACCAGTGGCCAAACCAATCGCCAAACTAGTGGACAAAACTCAAGATTCTGAAGAAATTAAACTATTGACGATACCAAAAGTTACAGATTCCAGCAGTAGTGAAACCCTGACAGGTATTATAAAATCTAGTTTAAGAATAACAACTTGGATCAATCACAAAAATCATCTAAAAATTGTATATCCTTGATTGGTGCTTTCTGTCTAGGTGCGCCTTGCTCCCCAAGCAATTTAAGCTCGGTAACCTTAATAGGTACCTCACCATCAGATGATACCATTGATGTTGAAAAATCTTCAGTAAAAAAATATTCGCCAAAAACTTCTCCTACGAGACAACAACCGCAACACCAACAAATTCCTGCCAAAACCTCAATATCCACTCCAACGAAATCAACTGCTAAAACACTGTCTCCTACCAAAGACCAAGGAAAACCGGATCATCAGAAAAGGCCATCGGTTACTCTTAAAAGTGATGATAAAAAACCTATACAACGAGGAGTGTCAGTTGAATCTGAAGACCAATCTGATGAACCTGTGTCCTCTCACACTCATAGCCATCGAGCTTCTTGTAGTTCTTCTAGGTCAGCTAGTATTTCTACTACTACTGGAGTTATACAAGTATGTATAATCAGCTTATAAAAAATATTTTCATTGTCAGTTATCCAAATTCTTCCCAGCTAGCACATAAACATTTGAAACTCCAGGATCCTTAAACTCACTGCTGATATTTTTTTAATGTAACGCTAATATTCATGAAACATCCGAATATCCGCAACTGCAGGAGTCTTATAGCACCTCTCTTAGAAGTTACAAAGGGAAGTTCAGAAAACATCACACTAACAGTTTTACAATACTCTCCGCCAAAAGTTGTTCTGAAACGTTGTATAGATGTTATAATCTACAGTATTATATAGTTGATTATGTAACGTAATATTGAGAGATTGATAAAACATTTTAAATTAAGGTTATAGTAAAACCTCAAGGAAACATGGACATTTTAAATCAAATATTTGTAAATTTTTTTATAAAAATATTGCTGAAATCAAGTACGAATATCACAAAAGTAGAAGTATACGATACTATAAACTACCTACCTATAAAACACAGAACGAGTGCACAAAAGTAGCTAAAGAGTATAATAAAATACTTATATCTCAAACTTTTACTAGAAGCTAAAACAATAAATGATTATACAGAAGTAGGTAAAGAGTATTTTTATTTATTTATACAGGTCATAAACCCAATCAGAGCAGGAATTGACAGAATATAATTATTAATATAGCACAGATTTTTTTATATGAATGTTAAGCACATAAAAAGAACTTCTATTTTGTAATAGATAACAAATTAACTAAGATAAAAAGTGGGATTTGATATCTGACAAATTGCGACTAAATATATCAGGTTCATTGATAATAGAATTTGTCACTGTATACATGGTAAGGAGCGGAGAATTTTCCAGAACATTTGTGCGAGATGTATTTATATAAAAAGTATTCGAGTGTCTGGAAGAAATTATGGGAATGCAAATATTAAACTTTTCTAATAAGGTTGGGCAGTCAATAATAATTTTATAAGTTACTACCCCACTACAAAGTTATGCTTTTGTAGTAATTCAGAATGAGGTGTGCCTATTAGAGGATAAATGCCATCAGTTTTCAGGTTTAGCAGTTTTAAAAATCGTCTTTGAATTGCTTCTATTCGATCTATATGATACTGATAAAAGGGGTCCACACAAGTGAAACATATTCTAACTTTGATCTTATAAAAGCATAAAATAGAGTTTTTAAGGTAGAGGTTTCTTTAAAATCACTACTACTACGTGCAATTAATCCGTACATGCGATAGAAGGAGGATAAAACATTATCAATATGCTTATTAAATGATAGTGCAGTGTCAAACGTGACGCCAAGAACAGTAAATGTTTTCGGTCGCTCAAGGGCAACGTTTTCTAGAGAATAATAATTAAAGATTAGGATATTCGTTTTTAAACTGTACGACATAACTTTACATTTATCCGGGTTTAGTGACAAATTATTTTGATAACAACTCGTGTTAAGTTTACTGAGAGGTTCTCGCAATCACCTATCTTCTCCACGAGGCAGTATAGGTTTAGATCATCAGCATACAAAAGGAAATTTACATTTATAACATCTATTTTTAATATTTTATATTCTAATTCACCTGAAAATATTTCGGAGTTACCATTTAAAAGATGTTTACTAAGCTCATGTTCTGGGTAATTCTCTGCAATACCTACCACTCGTAGTCGAGGATGCACGCCAGCAATTTCTTTAACATTATAGGAGTCAGCCATTTTTCTTGAACCAGTTTTTTAATTTTTTCAGTATCAGAGTGATTACAGCAACCGATAAGATTTCCTCCATCTTTGATAGTCTTAACTTTTGTCAATTGAAGATTTCCAGCTGTTGGATTAATATGAAGCAAAATATGTCTTTGTTTTTAATATTTCCTGATTAGTTTTTGGACGAATAATTATAGCTGGGTTTGATTTATCTTTTAGTATCTCTGAATACTTCCGTTACTCAGAAGTAGACACGTTTATGGCAGCCTTTACAACGTCACATTTCATAGACGTAACATGATTGTTTATTGTAGAAACAGCAGTATCTAGTTTAGTTTCGATAACTTTATGTAAACGATCTTCGTTTATTATATATATACAAGATGTCCCGTAAATATACCGATAAACTTTTAGGGGTTATAGCGGACAAAAATAAATATTTTTTGTTTATTGAACAGATCCAAAAACGCAAAATTTCCGGAATAGAGATAATTTTATACAAAAATAATAACGCCCAGTAGATATTTTCAATTTTTATAATTGTTTTGTATAAAACAACTAAAAATACTTTTCAAATGAATAGTAACCTCGGTGGGCAATATTAAGCCCAAATAATAATAGTCTTTATTTACAACAAATTCCCCACATAAATAATGGTGAAACTAATATAATAAATATGAATGGTAAGACAAATGCTCTTTATACTTCGGAAATTCTGACTCAACGTCAAAATGTTTATAAACCCATACAGCACAAACACATTTCAGAAATATTTCAAAAATATTACATTGAAACATTTGTAATGTATTAATATTACGAAACATCCCAGACACATTTCTGAAATGTGCCTGAAACGTAAAAATGTTCTGTAAATATAATATTTCACAGTAATATTTCTGAAATACAAATTTGAAATCTTTCAGAAACGCATTCTACCTTTTTTTTTCTAAAATATTATTAGACTAAAAAAAGACATTTATAAATATACATGTTTATTTAAAATACACAAAACTCAAACATTGATTCTTAAACAAATAATTTTTAAACATTATTTCATAAAATATAAAGGCAAATCGCTTAATTTTCACAAATTTCTTTAAATGCACTAATCTGAAACAAATAGTTTTTTTTAATAAATGCTCCAAATAAAGAAACATTTATGATTTTTACAATCTGATCATTAAGATCAATTAGCAATTTTATTCTAATCTAACTTCAAGGGACGAAAAACTTTATAAACTAATATTCTACTCACTGGAGCAGTCGTTGTTGGTGACTACTGGCAAATTTATGTATTGTATTTTCAACAGTCTCCACTTTAAGGTCCCTATGAAGATCAGTATTGTGACAGTACCAGTAATACTTTACCAGTAATACTTTATTCTGAAAACGTTTAATAACTTTGATGTTACAATTCCTTTAAATGCACTAATCTGAAACAAATTATAGGTAATTAAAAAGGTCTATTAATATTGTTTTAAATCAACTGTAATAAAACAAACAATACTCATGCCTACACAAAACATGGAGCTTTACTTTTCAATCAGCTGTAGGACTAATAAATAAAACTGGCGAGGGACAGCAAATGTAGGTTATATTTAAACAGAAATTAGAATATAAATTTGATAAACGAAATGGCGTCACTCGTCTCAGAGAAGAGATAAAGTTAATAAACCTAACCTAAACATGTTTGCAAGCATTGTAATACTCGCCTCAATTTCTAAAGACACATTCTGCCTACTCTGCTTCCCATTTAACAACAGCACAACGCATAAATAACAAAAAAAAGGAAATGACAAATACCGACAACTCAAATCTATAATTATTGAGAATGCCTATAGGGTTGTCTTTGAATGGGCATAGGATGAAATAAAATTAATAAAATAACTACATACATATCCCATCTTGATCTTCTTACAAATCAGAGATTCTTCATTAAGTGTTGGCCTTTTACAACATAACCCGTTTAGCAATCTTTTGTGTAACATGTATACCATGTTTCAGAAACATTTTCAGTGAAATGTTTAACTAAAATATTTCAGAAACTTGTGCTTGAAATGTTATACGTTTGAAACGTTTGAAATATTTCTGAAAACCTCCTGAAATAATGTGTGCTGTATGTGAAGTTGCATACAAGAAAACAGTAAAACTAAAATAATAAATATAAAGTAGTAAGACGGATGCTCTTAATAGTAAAACTAATATAATAAATATGAAACGGTAAGACAAATGCTCCTAATACTTCGGAAATTTACAGTATAATTGAACCGTCAAAATGTTTATAAAGTTGCCTACACGAAAATAGCAAAACTAAAATAACAAATATAAAGTAGTAGAACTGATGCTTTTAACATTTCGGAAATTCTGACTCAATTAGCAGTATAATTGAAGCGTCTGAATGCCTAACAAAAATAATACAACAACAGAAACAAATAATTAAACCTACAAAAAATTATTTAGATAACATTTTTCTATATTTTATCGAGAAAACTTACCAAATATATTCAAATATTTCACTCTAGTTCATATACTCTAAAAACGCATAAATAATCCCTAAAAACTGTTAAAAAACACGACAAGAAAAGTTTCAATTTTGTTAGGTTTTGGTATAAATGAATGTTACGTTCCGCATACACAATGTGATGTATACCGAACTTAATGTAGATAAATTATTGCGTTTTGTTAAATAAGTAAGAAACAAAGGTTTTAATTTCCATCAACAACCTCTCATGAACATTATATTATATATTAATATATAGTAATTATATAGTAATGTTATTACGTTCCCTTAAAACAACGTTATGTTCTAGCTGGGTTGGTATCTTGACCAGGCATAGGAATTTTCCAAACGAATTTGGCAATCTTGCTTTTTCGGTCTATTTTAGAATTTCAGAATTGTCGGGGACAGTCTTTTTTTCAGAGTTACTATGGAGCAAGATCATCAATACAGGATGGTGAAGCCTCTACTACTAGATCGAGTTTCCAACATGAGTCTCCACAAAGGCCGAGTCGAGCTGGTGTTGTTATCACTTCTTCTCGACAGTCTAAGCGAAGGTATAGTATCCATGTTTAAAAATAAAAATTGTTCCTGTAATATAATTATTAATGCTTTTAACAGACTGTTCTTGATTATTACCATTTTTCAGAAGTAGTACTTCCACTGCAGCTGCTGCCTTTGCAATTGCTACATCTGGTTCTAGTAACCCAAGAGACATATCGCCAGGTAAAGACCAAGAGGAGTATAACGCAGAAAGAGCAAGACACAAGGAATCTGTGATGTCCACAGCTTGTACAATGAGAGTACTAAACGTTTTGAGGCATTGGATTTCGAAACACCCGCAAGACTTCGAGAACGATCATCGCCTGAAAAATATGACAATAGAATTTTTAGAAGATATTATTTATAGTCCAAATTTGTTACCGGCTGAGCATAAAGCTGCAGCTCAGTTGTTGAGATTGTTAACTAAAGAAGATGCAGAAAGTTCTAAAATTGACTTAAAAAAATTACTTATACCTACAGCGGTAAGAAACTAAAACAACAATGCAAATATATTATTTTGTTGATTTTTTATTGCATTAATTTTGTTTACGTAAAAGGAGAGGAAAAATAAGGGGTTTTGTGCCCTTGTCTAATATGATAATAACCAGTTCAGATCAGATCCATTTAAAAATAATTTCGAAGGTCCGTATAATTTAAACTGCTTATTGATCTTCTCTTATTTTCAGGTTCCAACTAAAGAATCAATAGAAAGCTTATCCGCGTTAGAAATAGCAGAACAGCTGACGTTTATTGATCACCAAATATTCGCATACATTTCATGCGAGTAAGCTCACAAGTTTACTTTTTTAAACGGTACAAAATTCATTGATTTCCGTTTCAGAGAATTCCTGGGCCAAGCATGGATGAAGGCAGATAAAGAAAAAAGAGCTCCGCACATCATTATGATGACTAAACGATTTAATGACGTGTCTAGATTGGTAGCATCAGAGATTCTTAATCGTAAGTCTATTGCACAGAGAGTGTCTGCCATAGAAAAATGGGCGGCAGTAGCGGATATTGCTAGATGTCTTCATAACTTCAATGGTGTTCTGCAAATATGTTCTGCTTTTACTAACACAGCTGTATTTCGCTTGAAAAAAACTTGGGAGAAAGTTTCTAAAACAGTAAGCTTTAATATTACTAACCGATTTATTATTTATGCTAACAAACTAACATTTAATAACGCTTCAAGCTATAATTTGGTGTATAGGGATTTTAGAGTTTTGCACGTACAACTGATTTAAAATTATTTGATTAGTTTTATTCAAAACCGCTACTGTAAATATAGATTATATAGATGGATGGCTAAGAGGACAAATAGGTAATATTGTATGTCCATTTTTGTCTAAAATGGAAGATGTACGATTCTATGTCCTTCGAGGTGAAATCTTTATGGTTCCCAAATATTGTACGTCCATTTGATATGGTTTGCCAATTAGTAAGGTAATACTATATACAGCTCGTCATAGGCACCTTTAACTTTTAAATTGATTTTATTCAAAACGACATTTTTGGATATACAACCTTTGTCCTATTAGCCATTAATGGTACACAGCAAAACTGCAGATTCTTTGGGTAAAAATATTGCGATTTACCCAAACTTACTTTAGTCCAAAAGTCGATAATTCAAAACTATAGTCCAAATAAGTTTCTGAATAGTGGCGTAAAATTTAAAAAGGATAAAGATGTACTTATCTATTGTACGCCAATGGCAAAGCTTGTTTAAATGATTCTTTACTAATAGCTGTATCTTATGACACCATAAACGGTGGCTCCGTATAATGTAAAAAATTCAAAATTAAAAATGAATTCAAATGAAGTGTGAATTTAAGTAAGAATATCTCGAAAACCAATAACTTTATGAGTTCCCAACAAAAGTACAAGAATTATTTAAAAAATATAAAAGAATAGCCCAAATAAGTTTTTGGACAGTGGCGTAAAATTTAAAGGGGGTGAAGATGTTACTTATCCATGCCGTACGCCACTGGTAACGTTTGTTTATTTAACTGATTGTTTTGCTGGTAGGTGTATCTTATGATACAAAAATGTTTACCGAATTTAGTAAATTTGCGGAGAAATAAAAAAATTATAGCTAATAATAATTTTTGTATTTTTAAAGTTATTTTGGTTATTATCAACTTTTTGGACTAAGGTAAGTTTGGTTAAATCGTAATATTTTTACCCAAAGAATCTGCAGTTTTGCTGTGCACAATTAATTAGCGAACACCCTGTATTAATATGGAAATGCTTTATATGTGACTTCCAATCAGTGGAAAATTTTAAAATGGGAGCGAATTCAGAATCTAAAAAATCAATAAAAGAAAAAAATTAAATAAAATTTGTTAAAAAAATTGTTGCCACTTCTGTTCATCAACTTCGACTGCTCTGCTTTGCTTTTTCGCCCTGCTTTATCTGCTTTCCTGCTCTGCTTAGCTGCTTGTGCTTTCCACCCTGCTGCAATAAAATTTATTTACCTTTTGTACTTTGGTTTCTTTATTTCAACTTTCCGAAATAGCATTAGTCAATTCTAATTCTATTTTAACTGTACTCAACATTTAAATATTTCTCCTTCTGACTTTTCACAATATTCCAAATTCTTACCGACAACCAATGAAAACCCGCCATCCTTTTTTTTCAAACTTGATATACTTTCAAATTGATTTTCTAGACTTCAAAACCATGGAGGAGTAGGGAGAGCAATCTTACGCGTGTTTTGATGCGATATTAAGTGGGCCAATATTACCATCTTAATATCATTTGTAACATTGACTTATGAAGTATTGTGGTGTGTGCACTAAACTCCCAACAAGTGGAACGCTACATGATCCTACTGACCAAATCAAAAATGGCACAGCTGTGCGATGTTTAGCGGTAATATAGACCATGCGTATTACAGAATATTTGTATAAAATATATGCGTCATTCGTTGCCTATATCAATTATTAGAACTGGATCACCTCGCCCGCTCGCTTTTTGCTTACTTGTTCATTTGAGAGTTCACAGTGAATTTGTAATTATTTAGTGATTATCCTCGACCTAAGTACATCAATATCTGAATCTATAACATGTGGACGGTGAATTAAACGGCCTCACTAGGGCAATTTTTCATCCTCCTAAGTTGATAGGCACCTTATTCTAGCTCGTGAGCCAGCCTATAGATTTAATGTAGTTGACAACGTCGGTCGCCAATTCTCTTTTATTAAATGAGAGCGTCGGGCAATCGTAGAGGATATGCTCGATGGTCTCATCTTCTTGATTGCACTCCCTGCAGAGTGCGGATTCTGACAGACCCATAATATGGAGATGCTTCCGTACTTGGCAATGACCAGTCAGAATGCCTGTGGTCAGGCGCAGATTCTGTCTAGTTATAGCCAACTAATTGTTTGTTCTAGTGTTGTCAGGATAACTTAAAGGCTCCCTAGCAAGTCTGCAGCTTCTTGTTTTATCCCATCTTTCCTTGAATTTAAGAAGAGAATGTTCGTTAATTAGGTTTGTCATTGCCGATGTTGTCAGTCCAATAGAAGGGCAAGGTCCAAAAAATATTTGGTTGGCTGCCTTCTTTGCTAGTGAATCAGCAAGACAATTACTTTTCAATGTGACGTGACCTTTGATCCATCCTAAGTTGACCACATTGTTGATGGAAACTTAGGCCAAAGCTTTATGACATTCAAATACTAACCCTGAGTAAATTCGTGGTGTGTCCAGGGTGAGTAGTGCTTGTCTGCTATCCCTATAGATGAGCATGTTTCTTCCAGTGATATTATTTCTGGGGATTTCTTTTGCTGCTATGAGAATCCCCGTGAGCTCGATTTGAACTACACTGGCAGTACTGATCACAGCCCATTTTATGTTTAAGTATAAGGATCTGAAGTATATTTCACATCCTTGTTTTGTTTTAGAACTGTCGGTGTAGATATGAATCGTACCTGCCACTTCCGGCTCTTCTATTTGTTCTGTTATAACTTTATATGCCTTATGGAAGATATATCTCGGTGAGATAGAGTCCATGTTCGCTTGAAGCAAGAGGAGCGTATTGAGCGCCTCCTGCCAAAAGCGACGTCTGGCCTCACCAGATCCTACATCAAGTTTAATTCCAACCGTGCGGAGGCGTGTCATTGTCATAAGAGCAACCTCCTTGATGTAAATAGACTAAGAATGACTTCCATGGCTTTGGTCGGTGTGGTTGTCATGGCTCCTGTTGTGTTGATACATGCTGTTTTTTGAATTTGTTCTAGTTTACGGATAGCTGTCAATTTTTGGGTTTTGGAAACCCAGTAAACTGCACCGTATGTTAGCATAGCTCTTATAATGGCCGTGTAAGTCCATGCGACGACTTTTGTTGAGAGACCCCAGGTGCGCCCCATGGTTCGGCGGCATTATTCATAAGCAATGTATGCTTCTTTTACTCTGTTACCTAAGTTCATACTTTCTTTGGTTATTTGTTTTTTTGTTATTATTTTGACATTTCTTCGGTTTCTATTGTAATACGTTTCGTTAGTGTTTTGTGGTGAATTATGTGTCAAAAACAAAGCGTTGTAAAACCAATGAGTCAATCTTTATATTCGGTAAGTAGTGTCGTGATTTATATAGCGATATAACGATTTCGTAACTACCTCACAAATCAGATTCTAAGGACAGAAATGAGAGTAAAATCAGTTTAAATACCTAATTCATATTTTACTTACTGCATAATTAAAATGAAACGTTATCAATTACTATTTAAATTATTTACAATAATTAAATAAATATCAACAAAATCTTCAAAATAAATCCAATGTACTGTAATCTTTAATGAACCAAATTTTAAATGAAAGTCATCAAAATGTTAAGAAAAAATCAACAATTATTGTTTGTTACCTCGAGCACACAAAAAAGAATTGGAACAAACAAAAAGTTATAAATGGCTACTCCATTTTCAGATTATATGCAAAGCAATAGAAAAAAATGTAAATTACTGCCCTGTCGGCAAAAATTAGAGAATGGTGTGATGTTGTTAACTCAACTAAAATACCAAAAAATTATAGCCAGCTGAAAATCGAGGCCGGTATGTTATGTTATGTTAGGAGTGGGGTGTTAATTCACTGCGATCTAAAAGATCTATGTCGCCAATGCACTAAGGAAATGTCTGAATGCCTATAACGACCCTTCCAATCGTATTTTCTCAAGGAAGTGTAGGATTTGAAGTGGCTTCAAGTTAGGTAAATCTCCCTCTTTTATTTGATATCCTCCTAGATATAGTGCCCTTGGATTCTGGAGTGCTACACATTCAGTTAGGATGTGAATGAAGGTTTCATCCTCCTCCTCATAGAATCTGCATTCACTATCTTCTACTACTCTCAGTTTACTTAGGTGTCCTTTTAGTCGGCAATAACAGATTTTGTAGTTGGACTTTTTAATTTGTGTCATATGTCAAATTATGGACCAATAGAAAGCTCTTTATAAAATAAAGCATCTTCATCTATTAGGTACCCTCGTTTTAATAGAGATTACAATTTTACATGGTTTTTGTCCGAGAGAATATTATAGTATTTGTGATGACTAGTAATTACATAACAAGTTATGTTCTATTTTCCAACTTTACATTATTACGTCAAAATAAATAAAACTTGTTTTCTTGAAAATGAGACTCGTTGATAAAATTAAAAATAGAGACCAATAATTTAAAATTTCATATTGGTCTATTTTTATTTGTATAAAATCTGTTTGTAACCCTAATTACTCATTTGCCATCGGAAAAATGTATGTATTTTATTTTTATATAGTGTTGAAAGAATTTGAGGATATAATGGCATCTTGTTCTTTAGGGATAACTATGGAGGATAACATATCATAAGTTATTAAACAGAGTCGTACTAAAAAATATATATAATTTTCAAAATATTATTTATAGATTTCCAAAGAAATCATTATATACTGACTAAATGGATATATCTGTTCAAGATATTTTAAAGAAAAATATTTTGACCGATCTTCATTTTGTAGAGTCTATTTGTAAAATGATGTTATCACAATAAATTATGTGTGTTTAATTAAATTAAATTACTATATTTATAATTTTAAAAAAGGACGATTTCATTCCAATTTTTTTTTATTTTAAATGTTTTTTTATTGTAATAAATTGTCTACATAAATTTTAGTTATTGTATTTTTATTTAAGGAAGTGATTACAATAATAAATATTTAATTCACATCATCTTCGAAAAAACCGTTTTAAATGTTATCTCTAATAATTGTGGATTTTTTAACTGCTTACATAAATATCTACAAATAGAAAAATCCACAAATATTTACACAAATTTTCATTTGTGATTTATTATGTATTTGATATATTCATGTAAGGTATTCATTAAATTACAAATAAAATTACTGTGTTCACGTTGGACAACTCGGATCTGCTTAAGAAGCCATATTACTGCCATTCGAAATAATAGTTATGGCGTAGCGGTGTTCTTATTGTAATCGAACTCTACACGTCAATCTACTGGTACCACATTATTTTGAATAGTTAAATGATATATTATCTCCTTCCCCTACTATGCCACCATGCTTCAAACCCAGCTTTGCTGAACGAAATTAAAAGTCTGAGACAGTGACAATTAAATTAAGTTATAACAATTCACTACCTGGAAATTTTTCATATCAATATTGAATAAAATGTATTTCAGACAAAGCACACGATTGAGAAGTTACAAAACATCGTATCATCAGATGGAAGATTCAGGTCTCTTAGAGATGCTTTACATCGATGTGATCCGCCTTGTATACCATATCTCGGAATTTACTTGACTGATTTATCCTTTATTGAAGAAGGAACACCTAATTATACACCAGAAGGACTTCTAAATTTTGCGAAAATGAGAATGGTAAGTACATGATTAAAACAATAAAATTATGGATTAAAGAAAACAGTTATTAAAAGTGACACTTTAGCGACTGAACACAGTTTTAAAATATTTTTAATGCCAAACATTGACAGCAAGCTTGGTAAATTGGTAAAAATAGTAAACATTTTTTTAGTAATTTTTGGAAGTGCAAATTTTTAATATTAACAGTCATAGGCGTATACGGTGGGGGCATTGGAGGGCAGCTGCTAATACTATTCACAGCCAGGAAAGGCTATTAAAACATCGTGATAGATTCTCTTTAAAATTATTTTCTTATAAAATCAAAATAAATTTAGTAAAAAGTATAAAAAATTATGTTAGTTATTATAGAAAAACTATTGGGACTAATTATTTATAGTTAAATAAATATATAACAGTGCATTTCTTAATAAAGATATAACATTGATATAAGATTCATTTTGTTTAAATTGTGCTCAGTTGTATGTTTGTGTTTTTCTCTATTGTATAAAAATAAGTGTGTATACAACTCAAATAATTTTGCCCCGAGTTAACAGCTATTACTTATGAATATTTTTGGTATGAATCGTGTAGCTCAAAATTCCGTCTTCTATCTCGGAATTCCAACTTGTAACTCGGAATTCCGGCATACAACTCGGAATTCCGACATACAACTCGCAATTCCGACCTACAACTCGGATATCCTACATACAACTCGGAATTCCGACATACAACTCGGAATTCCGAGTTACAAGTCGGAATTCCAATTCAGAGGGCTGAAATAACAATTGTGACTATTGATATTGAATAATGGCCTCGATTAAATTTGATGTAGCACAATTTGTCAACGGAAAAGAAAACAACTAGTTTCTTGAAAAAATTTATAAAGAAAGTGATTTGAAAACAAGAGAAACCTTCAGATTTGGTACAGGTTCTGATCTTGGAAATCAAAATACCAAAATAGATATTATTGAAATCTAAGGCGTTTGTAAGAGTACGCCTGTGGCACATACTATTTTTAAACTTTTACAACTTTGTTTAAGTTAGGAAAACTTCATGACATTTGGAACTGAGTTCAATAATATAATCACATTCAATATACAGTGTGTAACAGCCAAATGGAATAAATTCAATTGCATATTTATAAAAAAATCCAAAAATACGTTAATTTTAGATTATAAAATGACATCATGTAACGTGAAAATTTCACTCCTACCTTCAACCCCCTTTGAGTGACAGTTGCAACCCTCTAATTTGTAAATAGGAAGCAGGACCTTGTGATACCTCATTTGAAAGGCCTCTTCATTCTCTATGCAAAAATGCTGTGGTTTTCAAATCTACTGCAAAAATTAACAGTACAAAAATTCATTACTAATAAAGTTTCTTTCTTGATAGTGTAAAAAATATCAAAAACATTAATGGTAATGTAGAATATAATAATATATAATAATAATACTCTCCCTAATTCACCCCCTTACGAGTGAATTTCAACCCCTGAAGTCGACTGAGCGACTTGTGTAGGGGAAGGGATGACGGCTATTATTATTATTTATTGTGGCGCTCCGGGACGACTTAAAGATGATTGATGGTGTCATTTGACTTACAGGTGAGGAAAACCCGGAAATCCTCACCCTCCATCATCGAGACGATTTTATAATCTGCATGTCATATCAACAGAAATTGCATTTCTATTAATCAAATCCTATTACGAACCATGCAATTTAAATAAAAATCCACATGGTCTGGCGTAGGATTCGAAGCTTCTCTGTCTCTGACCACAAACTTGCCTATAAATGAATATAAGCGCGTGAGACCGCTACGCCACTGATTTGAAAATGCATGGCAGAATCCAAATCGTAAATAAAATTGCCTTCTAACATCTGAGGCGTGACCGACGTAATCGCAAACGTTATTCTTCTTAAATCAGCTGATTCACGTGGATTAGTGGCGTAAGATCGGCTGATCGTGCTGGCCATTCTATCGATCCTCGCTTTCCTATCCATCAATTTGGAATATTTGGTCGAGGAACTGCCGGTTATTGTTTGGTATTGTGGTGGTGAAATGATATCACATTTGCTGGAACGCTGGAACTTTATAATTTGCTTGACCAGTATATAAATTTGCCAAAGTTGGCACGACATAATTATGGAGCACTGTAAGATTCATATTGTAAACTTCATTCAATGAAAAGGAGACCAATGACATGGATTTCAAATATCCCTGCCCAAAAATTACCTTTTTAGGGTATTTTGTGTTCTTTTCTTATCCAGTGACGAATGACGACCATACATGCGCTGCAGGCAGCTCCAAGAACGGTATCGTGGCGCCATATTTAAATATAGCGAAAAGAGTTGAACGTCCACATTACCGACATATTTAAAACGTCCTCAAAAAATCCCAACATCCCAACCAAGGCGTTTTAAACATGTTCTGAGCAGTGCGTATTAAAACAGTCCATTTTACGTAGGTGCCAGGACGTTCGGCCCAAGGTAAGAGATGAACTGGACGTCTTTAAAATGAAGTGTGCTATCTAGAAAAAGTGTTAATGCAAAATTGCAGACACTTTTAATATCGTCATAGCATCTCTTTATTTTATGTTAATGATAAAAAAAAATTGTATTCCCCGTCCTACATTGTGATGTCACGCCTTAATTATGTGCGATGCACAAAATAACGTGATTTAAGTGATTTTAAGCAGACACATTGTTTGTTTCGCGGATCTGTTGACGTGTTGACCTCTCTTTTTAGCTACAGGCTTTCGTGAAAACATCTCGATCCTTCACGCTCACTCAGAATAGTGCACCACAGAGACGCAATGAGCCAGAGCGCAGTGGCGTGCCAAAAAAATTGAAATTAACACTTATGAAAACACTAAAATTATTAAAATTTAATTTTATTTAGTATGTTATTTTTTTAAATAATGTGTTTTTATGAATTGTAACTGGGTGTTCACTGCACAAATGAACCAATGGAGAAACCGCCTCTAAAACCATTATTACTAAAAAAATTATTTTCGATGACTCGTATATACTGTATCTTAGTAAATGTATATTAAATATTAAGATAAGAAATCATTTGAAGGAAATGAGCCTTAATGAAAAAAAAAAAAGAATTATATATGTCAATTTTATAGGGTTATTTTAGTGTCAATAATGTACATAACTTTTTTTATTATTTTAAGGTGGCTCACGTGATACGTGAAATTCGCCATTTTCAACAAACTCCTTACAAAATTGAGCTTATACAGAAAGTGGCTGATTACTTGCTGGACACCTCTATAGTAATGGACGATGAACAGTTGTACGCTACCTCCTTAGAATTGGAACCCAGAACTTCAAGATTGGTATCCCAATCATCCACCACTACTCTTAAGTAAACAACTCAAAGATACCTACTTTCTTATGTAAAAGACAATCGGAGTCGCATGAATCTGTAATATATAATAGATAATTCACAATTATATAATATTTATACCTACTATTTTTGGTAAAATAGTAAAAATTGTTGAATTATTAAACAAGTACTGAATTTCTTTAAAATATTGCAGAAAGATTCATATAGACTCACCCTTGTTAAAAAAAATACTTATTAATCCTAATGAAAATTTTTAATCGCGATAAATCAAGCACTTTTTGAGAAAAAATATTTTTTTATTAATTCCTAGTATATAACGAAATAAGTATTGGTACGTCAGTTGCTCTATTCTTGACATTATCATTAAAAACGAAACACGTTTACTAAGAATAAATCTGTTCTTTTTAATTAAAATTTAATATTTCAAATTGAGGTATTTTTACATATTTTCAAACGATTTGGTTAGTACAACAAATTCATTAATTTATCTTAATGTTCCCATGTTTTAATAACAGGTACTCTTGAAATAGGTGCACAGTTCATCTTCCGTTAGTAATTTAAATGATTTAAATGTTCAAACCTATATTCCAAATAGAATTAAGCTTGTGTTTCGATCAACGAATGCCTGACCTAAAATTAACGGTAAAGTATATACGAAAAGATATATTATTTTAAACATACTGGCTAACCGATCGCCGGCGGTGCTTGCATTTGTTGAAAAGAAAACCGTCTTCCGGCGGCATGGTCTTCTTGATACAGGAAAGCCGCCGCAAATCTAAACTGATTTGTTTATCAGGGCGGCATGCTATCAGTGAATTGAAAAATGCCGCCGGACGACGGTCTACTTTATTTAAAACATTGAATGCCGGTGGTAAGAAAAAATACTTGTAAAATCATTTACACTTTTGTGGCAAATGATCATATGTCGTACGCGTTTTATTTGTACATCGGTCTCCTTTTAACAGAGTAGATGAGCTGTTTCCAGGCCGTTGGTGTTTATGCCGGTCGGCGTAGCCAGGTATGGATTGAAATTTTAAGTCGTTACTTCGACTTCTTGTTGTCACGGCATTATTATTTGTTAATGTATGTGAAATTTGCTTCTAAGGTTTATAAAATGCTACTGCAAGTCACGGCTTAAATGAAAACAAACAAGACGCATTCACACAATCACCTCCCACCACAGCAATTACAAATGATTAGTGTTGTCCCCGATACGCGAGTTTTTTCCGGCGGCATTTAATGTTTCAAATACAGTAGACCGTCATCCGGCGGCCTTATCAATACTCTGATAGCCTGCCGCCCTCATCAACAAATCAGTTTAGATTTTCGGCGGCTTTCTTATATTTGAGAATACCATACCGACGGAAGACGTTTTTCGTTTTATTAAATTCAACTACCGCCGGCGGTCGGCTAGCCAGTACGTATTTTAAATTTAGGCTTGTTTTTTATTTCACCACTTTCTTCGTTATTACATAGATTTGAGAATCAGTTGCCACGTAATTGTAATTGGTTATTAATAGATTTTTGTATAATTTTATTATTATCCTTAAAGTTACATTATTTATACTGGCGTCAGCAAATGCTCTGGTTTATTACAAAAATGTATACTTAATTTTAGTTCTTTAGTTTTTATCCTTTTCAAATTCATTTGACATAAAATTAAATGAAATTAAACTTTCGCCTTAAATCAAAATACAAAATAATTAAAAACAACTCGACAAGTGAACAGTTTAAGTTAACGTGTAATGTGGATAAATAAATAAATAAATAAATCTTATGTTTATACGTTTGGTTAATAGGGCAGCTGAAAAAGTCAATTGATGTAGACTTTAAGATTATAACTGAATCAATTTTAACGATGATGTATCTGTGAAACACCGACAATCTGTTGTTCACTAATTTTAAATATTCTGTTTAACAATATAAATTGTAGCATAATTTTTACAACTGAAAAAGTACAGTTGATTCTGCAATTTGTGTCAACGATTAACCGAATCATTATAGTTAGGTATGCTTAATAACAATGTAAAATCTTGACGTTTACTTTACAATTTTTTTCTTAATCTAGAATATAAGTATGAATTGTTGTGATTAATAGAGATTTATCAAGGTTGTTCAAGAAATAAATTGTAAAGTATCTGTATAGAAATGAATAGTACATGTAAAGAAAGAAAAAGTACCTGTAAAGAAATGAAAAGTACCTGTAAAGGAATAAAAAGTAATTGTAAAGAAATGAAAAGTACCTGCTACTAGGATTCGATTGAGATATATGTTTTATCGAATGTTAACTGTCGAAAAACATGTTAACTATTTTTTTATACTAAGTAAATCGTTTTTTATCAGTATAATTTTCATAAAAATTAATCAGAGCCAGAACCCTTTCTGGGCAATTTTCTGAGCTAGTTTAAAGTAGTTGAACATATACTATTTTCCGAAAATATCTGAGTTTAAGTATAGATTTTAAGAGTAAAATATATTCATTGTTTACAAGCCTAGTTTATATACATAAATGTTCCTTCCAAGCAAAGTTATATAAGTTTAGAATTATTATCTTCCAGACTATTTATTCTTTTCTCTTAATTTCATTTAGTTATTTAAAATGGTTTTACGAGAAATCAATAGTTTGAAAAATAATAAAAATTACCTATTTATGAATTAAACCAAATCTATTTTGTTAACTTTATTTTTTACCTTCATGTGTATTAGCTTGTACTTAAATATTCCCTATTTAGACCTAGGTACTTAATGTTTGTACTAAAGACTGATATGGTAATTCATTCTGTCGAGATATCATCTAGTATACAGGGTGATACACTGAAAACTTCCCACTTTGAATATCTTTTTTCCAGTAAATAATATGAATAATCGCAAGAAATCGTCAATTTTATTTTCAAGGGAGACACCTACAATTAATACTTTTAACACTCGTGGCTCAACCTCCTAAAAGGAGTAGATGTTACCCTTAAAATCTTAAATGGGAAAGGGGGTCAAGTGGCGCATCATTTTAAAGGGCGTTTAATTCCAATCCATACAGCACAAACACCTTCTGCATCAGTTTGAGTTGCTAGCTCGTGAGTTAGAAGAGGATCAATAGTATCTTCAAGTATATTAAGGTACAGATCGCCTGTCAATTTTCCTTCAATAAAGAATACCACACCAAACATTATCTTTTTGCGGACGTTGTGTATGCCCTTGTGACAGGCTTCTGGTTCACCTACAGTGAATCAGCGAGTCTGTGTGGCGCTATGATGGTGATTCCCGAAAAGGGGTTGCTCAGGCGCCAGTTTTGTTATCGCAGTTTGCTCTGCGACCCTATAGTACACCAGAGTGTACTCAAGGTAAACTCAGTGGAGGTAAAAATAATTCCAGGCGGTCACTGCTAGGTAGCCACTATACTAGAATAAATAAAACACTTATCTCCTTTAGACCTCGTACCCTACGGTACCCTGAAAGAGAACGGTTAAGAACCAGCAATAAGAGAAACATAGGAATAGGTAATAAAATATATATACAAAAAATTTACAACGGTGGTAGTGCACGGTTTTGGCACGGCTGTAAACGGAAAATTAAATAAAACGAATAATTACAATTAAACGAGATTACAAGAAAGTAATTACGGCTCCCTATATACAGAAAAAAAATAATTTATTACAATTGAAGCTAATTAAATAATAATGGCTTCCGGTATTCGGAAGATTTATTAAAAATAAATTATTACAATTGAAAACTAGTTAAATATTAATAGTTCACTGTATTCGGAAAATTTATTAAAAATAAATTATTACACTTGAAAACTAATTAAATATTAATGGCTCCCTGTATTCCGAAAATTTATTAAAAACAAATTACTACAAATGAAAACTAAGTAAATATTAATAGCTCCCTGTATTCGGAAAATTTATTAAAAATAAATTATTAACATATGACGGTAATAAAATGTAGGAAAAAAAATGACAGTAAAGTTCGTATTACCTTTTACTAGTACGAGAAAATATTTAAATCGGAAATTATGTACAACCCGGTATATGGAAGGTATGTTTTCCCAAATACACGAAATTAAATTAAATGTTCTGGTCAAAATAATAAAACGAAAAAAACGGTAATTAATTAAAAGGAGTAATTAATTTTTAATCAAACGGTTGACCAACTGAGAAGTTCATAAAAATAAAAGAAAACGGGTAGTTACGACACTCCCTTTATAAGGAAAATGAAGTTTACTAATACCACAGTTAACCCACCTACAATGTAAGTTCAGGAAAGGAAAACCTACTATAAAATAAAACAAAGTTTTCGGAACCCCTTGTATCTTGGTCCCGAGCGATCGGCAGTGGCAATTTTCGTCGAGTGAGAATGATATGAATTTACGGTGTGTGAATTAATTTTATAGAAAACGTCGGGCTTCGTTCAATAATTAGTTGTGGACGGGGAACGGAATGATTCAAATACAATTGAATGAATAAATAAATAAAAGAAACTTACATGAAATGAAAAATACTGGGCGCTTCTTAAAAGAGATTGCCAACGGTTTCCCATTAAGGGATGAAATGAAAAATGCTCGGCATGAATCAAAATTCTTTCACTTGTCGGACGTCCCAAACTAATTGTAAATAAAAAAAAATAATTTGCGGTTTCCTACCTTAGAAAAATAAACGGCGTTTTTCAGTATTCTATCAATATCACGGTCACTCACTGAGTACTTCACTAGTCGGTGGAGAAGAGAGAAGAGCTTATGGTTGCCGGAAATCAAGAGAGCGTAATTCCCAGATGTGATCGAATTTATGCTTTTTCGCTGGGCAAGATTGCAGACCGGTAAGCCCGAGTGGGGGATACCACCACTACAGCCGACTGTTTACAATTTAAAAATAAAAAAAATGTCCTTCTAGTACCTTGACAAATAAAAGTAGATAATTGGTACGAAATCGACTCTACAAAATGCCCATTCGGATTTCGGCAAATATAGGAATATTTTAACCTACGAGGGTACTCGCAATTGTTGAAAAACGGTAATTCCTGGGAAACGAAATACGGGGGATCTTCTACATGTCCTCAGGCGGGAATTAATTGAAATATACATTTTTTTAAATTAAATAAAAATAAAATTAGTGACTTCGTCACACCCTTCTCGAATAATATGCGGGTGTTCGTCACTCCAGTACCAACAATATTGTTTATTGATATTGCCATTAAGAGAAAATAAAGATTCATCGCTGAAACAGATAGCAGAAGATTAGGGTTGGCGTTGACTTGATAAGACATAGTTTCACAAAACTCTATTCTTCTATCAAAATCATCTTCGTAGAGCTTTAGAAGTATCTGCATTTTATAGGGATGAATTGTATGCAGTTTCAGTTATCTTCTTACAGTCTCGCGTGATATTCCGGTTTGTTCTGCTACTGTTAATATGGAGCTAGTTGGCACTGCAACAAATGTTCCCAAAACCTCAATTTGAGCTTCTTCATTTAGTACCTACTCGTCGGTTATTTCTTTTCTTATTTTTTACCGAACCGGTTTCCATAAACTTTGCCACCAAATCGAGAATATACCTGTGACTTACATTACGATTAGGATTTCTTTCATTAAAAATAAATGCTGCCCTTCGTGCGCATTTTCCAACCTCTCCATAAACGAAAATCATTTCGATTCTTTCCTGTAGAGAGAAAACCATTTTTGCAGTTTATTCACTTAATTAACGGTATCTCTGAACAGCCCAACAAAACGGTCTTCAAAGAAATACTATTCGTCTGATGAGTTAGTTCCGTCCGATACGTACAAATATGCGCTTACCTTTAAACGCCCTTTAAAATGATGTGCCACTTGATCCCCTTTCCCATTTAAGGTTTTAAGGGAGGTTGAGCCACGAGTGTTAAAAGTATTCATTGTAGGTATCCCCCTTGAAAATAAAATTGACGGGTACTTGCGATTTTTCATATTATTTACCTACTGGAAGGAAGATATTCAGGGTGGGAATTTTTCGGTGTATTTCTTTGTTATTTTGTATCTATACCGGTGATGGTTTCTTATACCCTTAGTGCTAAAACAAACGGGAAGACATTTTTGTCGAGTCGACGATCGACTTGACCTATCCTTTATACCAATGAAATGGGTTTTAAAACAGCCGACAATGTTTTAACTCATTTCGTTTGTATAAAGTCGACCATCGACTCGACAAAAGTTGTTTTAGCACTTCATTATAAATTTACTTCGACCCAAAATACATTCACGATTGGAAAAAGAAGAAAGGTTAGCCCAAGGTAAAATCGATTTAGAGAATCGAGGTGTTATGGATCAAAATATTAACTTTAACATCTCACATCCTAATTTTGAATGGAGAAAGTAATGGGACCCATCTTATCATAGGAACATTTTTATGAAATACGGAACTAAGATCAAATGAATTTCTAGTTTTCATAATTCGGTTTACTACTGAGATTTGCTTCACTTTTGTCTAGATCAGCTATACTCCCACCTTTTTTTACTTCAAACCACATATGTTTGCTATTTTATGACCTTTTTTTGGTCATCCATTTTGAATTAGTGGGAAGCTGTAATAAATAAAACACTATATATGCAATAAACCGATAGTAGGAACAAGCTAATTCACTTAAGTATCATTTTAGTTCATCAGTTTTATTATTATTTCTCAATTTATTATAATTTATAAAATACAGGGATTTTACTTATATAAACTAAAACGTAATATTTAACCATTAAATAATAAGTTAGTTAATGAATATAAAAAACACTCACGTACGTATATATTAATGTCAATTGATTGTGATTCATTTCATTTCTATCCGCGCATGTTTTCTCTATCACAAGAATTTTGATCCTATCAGCACATGCTCTTGATGAGTATTCACTTTTTCCTATCCCATACAGTGAGTTTTTCTTTCCATAAAGGCATCCTTTTCTATAGATTAAAAAACTAATTTT